CAGCTGCCAGTGAATCTGTCCTTGGAGCTGATGGGACTTCAGTGCTCGGCCACCACTGAAGTGTCGACAGCTTGAGGAAGAGGGCTTTCCCCTTGATCCTTCTGCACCCGCAGAGCTGTGCTGACTCAGCCTGTGTCTGGAGGAAAACGCATGCTTGCTGGGGATGCCAGGGTTGATTATTTCTTGGGTGCTTGCGTGAGAAGTGGAGCTTCAGTGTGTGGTGTTAGATTTCCTTTTGGAGTCAGTTCTCCTGTCTGTGGGAGGTCAGTGCTTGGCTGCAGGTTGATTTGTAATTGCCCTCTCCTGGATTTGGGCCCTGCTTCGGTAGCTGTGGGGTGTGAGTAGGGATAGACCCTGACCATGGCTGATGGTGTGGCTGAGTGTCACCCGAGCCAGCAGAGCACAGGTTAAGGTGTCATTCTACTTAGAAAATGGCCTTTTTTCCTAAGATCAGCCCTGTGTGCCCCGCTCTGCAGTCATGGATCTGCCTGTGTCTGTCTCCTCTGCGCTTCCTTTCCAGCCAGGCTGCGCAGCGTTGGTAGCACAGACAGGGAGCTGGTCTCCCCCCTGATTTATGTTCCTCTCTGCCTCTAGTCTGAGTATAAGTGATATGAGAACCACCCTGAGCCCAGGCTGGCTGGTCTCTGCTGCTACAGACAGCACCTCTCCTGCTGGTTTTGAGGTGCCAGAGGATCTAGGACACATTTTCAGAGTAGAATTGCACTTTAACCTTTCCTGGAAGCTGGGCTTGCTGCGCTGCAAAGACTCGTTCAGCCTTGCAGCTGCTGAGAAGCTGCCTCTGAGCGCTGTCCCTCTGCCAGGAGGTGAGCAGGCTGTGACACAGGCATGAGGCATGCGGGGGAACAACACAAGCTGTCCCCGGAGCATGGCTCTGGAAGGGACCTGCCCTCAAAACAGATGCTGGGTGAGCACCTTGGGGTGCTGTTCTCCCTGGTATGGGACAAGGAGGGAATAGGGCAGATTGCTGTGTGACATTGATGTCACTGGAGACTTCTGTGGCATGGTGTGTTTACTCTGCCTCTTTCCTCGGTAGGCACCAGCACAGACTCTAGAAACAAGGTGCAAAGCCTGGAAGATGGTTTGTTTTGAATTGGCTTCTCAGCCTCAAAAGCTGCAGTCCTCACAGCAGCCACGCTGAGACACAAGCCGTGACCATGCGCTCCTGGGCTGCATCTGACTGGTGAGAGGGAGGTGGACAGAAAACACCCTACAAACAACGTCTCTCAAATTTCGTAGTGCTGGAGGGGGTTTGGCCAGTGCCTTCCTCCCTTGCCTAGCCCCAGATCAGGGCGTGTGTAGAAATACTGTAGGGTAAGGAACTGGCTGGGTTGTGCATAGTCAGCCATTGGTTCTTCTCTTGTGACAACTGCTGAGCTTTAACCTGGCTCTGGCAGCTGGTGTCACCCAGTCTTGCAGCAAAATGAGGAGTAGCATCAGTGGTCTGCCTGGGCGCTGACCTCCTGCATCCAGCTGGCCCCGTTGTTGCCTGAAGGGTGCCCTGACTCCCTCTGTGCCATGCCTCGTAGCCCAGGCAGTCGAGGGAGTGGTGTAGGGTGGGTGCTGATGGCCTCTGCAGAGCTGCGCTGCTGGCGGAGCCCAGTCCTGGGGTGTCCAGGTTGTGTAGGAAACTGGGGATGCTCCTTGGAGAGCACTCCACAAGGCTCAAAACACCCTGGACTCAAAATGGTGGGGTTCCCCCTCTGTCCCTCTCTCCAAGCTGTTTTCTGAGGGAGTCTGGGGGTGCAGGGAGGCCCCCTGCTGTGTCCCCTCACTTGGTTCCCTCTTTGCTCAGCACAATGAAGGCCTGAAGTTTTGCAGCCCCATGAGCCCCCATGCCATGAGGTTCCACGTGAACATAAGGAAAAACTTCTTTACTGTGAGGGTGACAGAGCACTGAACAGGCTGCCCAGAGAGGTTGTGGAGTCTCCTTTGGAGATATTCAAGACCCACCTGGACACGTTCCTGTGTGACCTGGTCTGGGTGATCCTGCTCTGGCAGGGGGATTTGAGATCCCCTCCAACTCCTAACATTCTGTGATCCTGTGATGCCAGCGCAGCTCAGGGGCAGCACCGGTGCTGCAGGACCCAGTTGCGAGGGCTGGATTCAGCCCTGCCCCTGGGCCGGCTGGGGCAGCGCTGGAGCGTGGTTACAGCAGCCAGGCAGCCCCGGGCTTGCGTGCTCACCTCCTGTGTGCATTGGATGTGGGCTGTGTCCTGCTGAGATGCAGCTGGCAGGGAGCGAGGTGCTGGGGCTGCGTTCTCATCACAGTCGCTGTTTCGGTTCTCTCCCTCCAGTCCCTACCTAGACCTGACCTTTCCCATAGGCACACTGAACGTTCCTTCAGGAGAGCTGGATTTTCAGCTCTGGGGGGGCTTTCCTGGCTTTAAGTTGTCCATGAATGTTTTCAAATACTTTGGAAACTCAGATTTCCTTGTGGCAGCTCAATTAAATGTATCAGTGCCAAACCAGCTCCTTCTTAACAAAACAAGTCCTTTTTCCAGCTTAGTTCCCTGTGTAATTGTTTTTTCGCCGTATTTAATGAATGACTTTGTGCCTTGATTCAGTAACTCAGATGGGTGATGATGGCATATATCACTGTGTTACGTATTAGTGTGGTTTTTAACACTAAGACTGTTTGGTTTGGTTCTTTAACTTATTGCAAATTATGCCGTATAGGACTTGGTCTAAACCAGAATGGTTTCAATAAATCCTCTTTTGCATTGTTTGTAAATGGTGCCCTGCTTTTGTTGTTGCAGCTGAGGTTACACAAGACTTCGGGATTTTTTGGCAGCCCTTTGTGAATTTCTGAAGGTAGAAACCCCCCCTTTTTGGGAGGGATCCACGTATCCTGACAATGCTTTGATGGCTGAGCTGCCCCTGGCTCTGCCGCCCTGTCCTGCTGCAGGGAGGTGATGGAGCGGGCAAAGGAAGCGTGCAGAGGGAGGCTGGAGTTAGATAACTGGGCTGGGCCAGCCCATCCCTGCCACCCGCCTGGGGCTTCGTGACCTGGTTTTACACCCCGGATTCC